TATTGTAACCTCTTTGGTAAAAGAAGTAAAATTATTCACACTCTCAGCATCCCCCTCAGTATACGCAAAGGTCACCAACCAGGGGTCAGAAGCCCTGGGTTCCAATTCTCTGCCACCTCCATGCTTGTGTGACCTGGGGCCGGTCACTTAATTTCTTCGCTTGCCAAATGGACTGTAACACCCACCATTCTGCCTCTGGGGTTTGTTATAGTGTTCAATGAGATAAACTCCCCCATGGCAATCTTTAGGGACTTGCCCAGTGGAAGGGTAAGGGTTGACCTCGGGGCAGTGTGCCTGCTGGATGTCCCCCTGTGATCTGAGCGATGGAAAGGAGATGGGAACTGTCATTTGTTTTAACACCAGCCATGAATCGGTCATGGTACATTAGGACGTTAACCTAACTCATATAATCCTTGTATACTATAAATCAGGCCTCATATGTCCCATTTTACAGGAGGGGAAGCTGAGGTTCGGAAAGTTAAAGTGATACGGTTGGTAAGTGGTAGAGCCGGGACGTGCACACGGGTCACAGGAGCTCTTTCTTCTACACAAGGTCAGTGTGAAGAGGCGTGCACTCCGCCTCCTTCCCAGCCCTTCCCCTCCGATATCTTTCTTACTTCTTAAATCATAGAGAGGACCCTGGACCCACCATGGTCAGGTCCAGCTCTAAAGCTGTTTCTGGGATGATGGCGCCTTCTGCCTTTGAACCTGCATCTGCTTCCCCAGTCTGCTGGGAGCTCACACCCTGTTCGGCCCTCCCTGGTTTGCTCTGGAACATGGCGTGCTTGAGCAGAGAGCACAGAACAGAGGGGATGGAATGAGAGAGAGGGAACTGTACCCCCGGCTCAGGCGTTGAGAATCGCTGAGCGTCTTCCCTGGAATGAAAGCCAGACTGGTCATTGACGCTGGGCCTCTGCATCTTCCCAGGCAGAGAGGAATTCCTGAAAACACGGAGGATGATGCCTTGGAATGACAGAGTCTGCATTAGTCACCCGGCTCTGGCTAGGTTTGCTATGTTGGGGTGGGGGATGGGGGCAGAGGGTGCTCCTCCTGGAAATACTGTTAAAACTATGAAACCCCATAGAGATTCCATAGCAGAGTCTATTTGAAATAATGGCATCAAGTTACTATAAAGTTTACATAAAATAATGTTGTCCAGTGCAGGACAACATCTTAATTCTCCCCCAGCAGCAGGACAGGTTCAACGGATGTCAGTTTTCTTAGAATAAACTGAAAACCTTTGCAGAATGTGGCCATGAGCCTTCATAGCCCTGAGACGGGGGAGGAGGGGGAGGAAGAGCAGAGGCCCTGCAGGCTGGCTTAGAGCCCTCTGGTGTGGCCACTCGAGGGGCCCACCTGTGCCTGCCTCTCCTCCTGCCCCTGCACCGCACGCAGACCGCCCAGCTGTGCACCCAGACCGCTCCCTCTGCATCTCCGGGGGAGGGAACCGGGAAAGGCTCCTTATTTAGAAACCGCATTGACACGCAAAGACAATATGACACATTGGCTCATGTCAAAGGAGCTCATTCTCTCCGCCTACAGCATGAGCAGTCTCCTGCCGAGGTTGACATTATTTAAAGAAATTATTGTTTTGTTTTCAGTTGTTTTGTTTGTAGCATAAGTCGTCATCAGGACGAGTTATGTGGCTGCTCAGAGCAGGGTGGGAACCTGCCCAAAGGCAATCAGACCCAAGAGGCCTGGATGGGGTGGGGGTCCAGGGGAGAGGGTGTGCATTTTGGCTTCTCTGAGAAGAGGGTGAAGGAGTGGGTGGTCGTTGGCTTCTGCTTCAAACCCCCTCTCATTCTTCCACCTCTCAATCCCCTCTCTGCCTCGGAGCAGTCTGGCGGGTGGAGGGGGGCAGTCGTGGCAGATCCCACACTCTGGAGGCTCCAGCCATGGCTGCAGATGACAGCCGTGGAGGAAGGGAAGCCCAAAGCCAGCCTGGGCCTCTGTACCACCACCCTCCTCTTCAGCACCAGGAAAAACTGCTCCTCCGATGTCCAGCTCCTTCCTTCCCCGAACCCCACGTAAAATTGCAGTTTTGCTGCTGGAAGGAGACTCGAAGAGCTCCTCATTCAAACTCATCATCTGGCAGACAAGGAAATCCATGCCCTGACCGGGCGATGTGGCTGCTCCATGGCTGGTTTGGTGCGCAAGTCCCGGGACCCAGCCGGCTGGCGCCCTGCCCTGTGCCCTTCTCTGCCACCATGCTGTGCTGTCTCTGCCCCTCCTTGTCTCTCCCTGCCCCTACGCCGAAGCTCAGGGTGGTCTTTCCCTGAGACACAGCGTTGAGGGGCAACGATTTCCCTCCTGTCCTCAACTTCCCTGCCAGGGTCTGGGTAGGACCCTGCACGTCTGAATCAGGTTCCTTCACACAGGGAGAAGCGCATATGCATTTTAAGAGTGGACTTGTGGAAGCAGGGGGTTCTAGAGGGAAAAATCCCCAGCTTTACATAAGGACTTTCCCCCCTGCTTTTGTGGCTATAGAGTGACTGCAGGCCACAGTGACCGACCTGGGGGAGTGGGCATGAAGGGGACAACTAGGGTGATGCTTTCTCTTCATGTAAGAAAAAAAGTTTCTCCTGTATCTCTCTCGATGAGTGTCCCTGGACATGTCGCTTCCTACGTGTGCCGGTCCCTCTGTCTCTCGGCTCTCTCTGTGTCTCACTGCTGCCTGTCTCTTTCTCTCGTCTCTGTCTCTCTCCCGGTGTCTTTCCTGTGTCCCTCCCCCACACTCGCTCGCGTGCACTCTAAACCCAGTGGTTACTGACTGGCCCGGGAGCCCCAGCCCCTTCCTGCAGCCCTGTCAGGGCAGAACCTCCGTCTCCCGGCTCCGCTCCGCTGAGAAAGGCCAGGTCCAGAACTGCGGCCGGGCGCCAGAGACGCTGCAGAGCCGCCTGCGGAGGGTGGAGGCTGAATCCGGGAACAATGAGAAATTATCTGTTAATTCTTGTCTCCTGCCACCTGCTCTGCTCCGAACAGGCTTTTCTGCCTTCAGCGCAGATGTAAATTCACGCCCCCTCCCCTCGTTGTTAAGCAAAATATTGATTTCTCTGCATCACAGGTCTGGGCCCTTGGAATCCTGGTGTGTGTGCGTGTGCGTGTGTGTGAGTGTGTGTGTGTTCCATTCTCTGCAAAGGCAAGGCAAAGCGCTTTGTTCTGCGAATTTCCCTGGGTACTCGAGAGGGGGAGGAGTGGCAGAGGTGCCATAAACACGGGCAGAAAGCGGCCTTCCGCATTTGTATTTTGTGTAAACACAAACCCGCCTCCGCAAAAACCGCTAATGAGCCTTTAACGAGGGGCCTCTGAGCTCCCCACTCGCAGGTGCTGAGCGTTGCATTTGTCTGTGGAGGGAAGTGTGTCGGAACCGCTGGCCTCCTCAGGTGGGTTCTAGACGCACTGAGAGGCGAACGGGACTCCACGGCCTCACCTGTTCTTGGAGCGTAACTGAACACCTCCCGCAGGAAGGCGGTCTGGATTGCACAGTGTGGCCCGGTCCAGGCTCGCTCAGTTCCTCCCGCCTGCGTCCCCAGCCCCCTCCCACTGCAGGCATCAGGGCAGAAGCTGGGAACTCGCCCGAACGGCCCGCACCGCCCCTTCCCTGGCACTGTCCGCCTGCGACAGTTGTACCGACTGGCCCTTCAGCACCGCGGACAGAGCCAGGGATCGTGTCCGGACAGGACCCCCAGCAGGGCTAGGTCGGGGTCCTCCTCTCGGGCCTCGCCTGGCCCTCTGGCTCCGGGGCGCCAGCTGTCCGCGGTCCTCCAGCCGGGGGCGGGGGGGGGGGGCAGGCGGGCTGGCGCGGCTGGCGCAGACGGTGCCCGGTGGAGGCCGGCAGGAGCTGGGGCCCCGAACCTCCTCCGGCCGGCACGTGAGTCACCGCCCGAGCCACTCAGCAATTAGCGTGTTAATCAGGAGGAAAGTCCTTCCGCCCCCACCCACCGCCGGGTGCACACCAGCCCCACGGCTTCCGGAGGCTCCAGCTAAAGTTTCCTTCCCAGCTGCTCCGGGAAGGCAGAGGGCCGCGAGCCTGGAGCTTCGGGCGAGCCCCACACAGGAAGGGGGGCCCATCCACCCGAAAGAGGAGGACGCGCGGTGCCCCCGCCCCGCGCAGGGCCGCGCCTGGGGGCGACTCGTCCGTGGCCAGCGCTGGCGAAGCTCCTCCGAGCTCCTGGGCCACCTGCTCCCGAACCCCAGGCCACAGTCCCCGGAGCGCAGTGCTGCCTTAGGTCCGGCCTCCATCCCCCCGTTTAGTTCTGGTTTCCCGCCCTTCGCTATGCTTAGTTGCGACACATGTCATCTCCTGGGTGTTGTACGGACACAGGGAGGTGGGTCAGGTGGGAACCGAGCCCTCTGGAAATGCCCCCTATTTCTATGCACCAGAAACTTTCCCCTCTAGTTGCCATGGAGAGAGACGGCCGCTGCCTCCCGTCGCCATGGCAACGCGCGGGTACCGCGGACCGCAGGATTGCGGGGCTCGGGAAGACTTTTTGCAGTTCGCAATGCCGCACAGTCGGAGGGTCTCCTGCCTCCGCACCTCGGACTTGGGGCAAATCGACTAACTTCTCGCGTCAGGAACCTCGCCAAGGTCCTCCGGCCCCCAGCCGGTCGGCCTTCCCTCCCGGGGGCGTTCATCCGCTTCGCTGCCACTCGTGCGGCCTGTGGCCTGTGCACCCAGCGTTGACACCGACACTCTTTACAGCCCCCGCAGCACGCGCGGCTCTGGCCACCACTGCGCTCCCTCGCAGAGGGGCCCGGGGCCCGGCGAGGCCCGCGGTCGCACCAGCCCTCGAGCCCGGACGCAGACCGGTCGCTGCGCGCGGAGGGGGCGGCCGCGAGGCGCCAGACTCGCCAGCTGCCGCGGGATGCCACGTGAGGGGCGGGGGCCCGGCGGGGAAGTGATTAAAAGCCGAAGGGAGGCGCAGGGGGCCCGCGGGGAGGGTCTTCTCGGGCCGCCCCGCCCCAGTCCGGCCGCGGCGCGCGTTCGGAGGCGGCTCCGAGGGCCGGGCGTCTGGGGCATGAGCGGGGTGCGGGGCGCCGGGGGGCCTCGGTGCCAGGCGGCGCTCGCCGTCCTGGCCTCGCTGTGCCGGGCCCGGCCGCCCCCTCTCGGGCTGGACCTGGAGACTTGTCGGAGCTTCGAGCTGCAACCCCCGGAGCGCAGTCCGAGCGCGGCCGACGCAGGTACCGCGAAACCCGAGGCCCGTCCCTTCCCGCAGGGTCGCCCTGGCTGCCCCCGACCCCCAGGACTCCGGCCCCGGGAGCCCCGGAACCCAGGGGAGAACTCGGCTCAGGATCCTGCATTCGCGACCGGCCGCGGCCAGGGCCCTGGCCCGTGGCTTGCAGGGCGAATGGAGAGGCGCGAAGGGGACCCGCAGGAGAGAATCGCCCCGCCCCCTGCAGGGGGACCCCGCGGACAGCTGGGCTCCGGGGTCCGGCGGCCCTCGGGGCTGTTTCCCTGGCGTCTCCCCTCTCGCCCTGCGGGCCATCCGCCTGGGAGGGGGCCGTGCAGCGAGCAGGGGACCTGGACACCCCGGCCGAGGAAATCGCTCGTCTCCTCGCGGATGTCGAGGCCCCCGGACCCGTCTGCCCGTCCGTTTGTTCTCTCGGGGAACGCGGCGCGCGCTCCCCGGGTCTCTCGGGGACAAACTTGGGTCTGCGGCTGGCACGAGGGCTGTGAGTCCCGGCGTCTCTCCGGCTGCGAGTGGCTCCCCGCGCCTCCGGGGGGGTGGCGGGGGGCGGGGGGAAGGTGTCGCAGCCCCCGCCCCCCGCCCCCGCCCCTGGAACCCGCTCGCTCGGTCGCTCTGACTCACTCGGACTCGCGGCCGGTGCGCGGCTCAGTCGGTGCCTCTCGCCGACTTGGCTCAGCGGGCGCCTTCTGCCCGAGCGGCGCGGACCCTGCGCAGCCGCGGGCGGCCGCCGAGCCCAGGGGGAGCCCGGACCGAGTGGAGCTCGCGGGAGCCGGTGAGTCCGCGGCCCGGCGCGCAGCTGCGGCGTCTCCGCGGAGTCGCGACAGCGGGAACGGCGTGTCGCGCCCCGGCGGCGGGAGCCGCGGGAGGGTGGGCGGCCGGCGGCCCCGGGTGTCCACCTGCCCGGCAGAGCCGTGCGGCCACGCTCGCGCGCGGCGGCCGAGCTTCTTTGTCCGGGTCCCGACGTCCGGAGGGTCCCGGGCTGAGCGGTGCCAGGTCGCGCTTCCTCCGCGGCGGGGCGTGGGGTGCAGCGCGAGGCCTCGAGAGAATGCGGAGTGGGGGCGGGGAGGTCCTGCGGGGACCGAGGCGCCGGGCGCTCCGCGGACTCCAGTCGCGTCGGCCCCGACCCGGACCCGGGTGGCGCGGGGCCCGGGGTCTGCACACCGCCGGCGCGGGAACGCGGGGAAGGGGCTGCGAAAGGCGCGAGTTTCGTCCCCACGCGCTTCTCCTGGGACCAGAACCCCGAGACTGGAGCGGCGGGGCGGGGAGCGGGTACAGGTGGTGCGAGCCCCCGGGAGGCTGGAGGTTCCGGGGCCCTGTTTTCACGCGAGGTTAAAGGTCAGAGGTCCAGGGTTAGGAAAGGGGCCTCCGGGGACGGAGGAGAGAGGACGGCAGCAGCGGGCCTGGGGGAGCCGAGCGCGCGTGAGGGTCTGTCCGGCCCAAAGCGGGGGCCCCTCGGCCCTGTTGTCCGGGAGCTGCGCGCGCGCGCTCTGGCCGGGCAACGTTTCCTCGATGGGCTGACTCCTACAGCGGAGGGACAAAGAAGAACTTTTAGCGGGTGGCACAGTGATGGAGGGTGGAGGCTTTGATTCCTCCTCTGGGAAAACCTCAGACCAGATTAGACCCAGAAAGTATTACCACACTGGCTCTCCGGTGCCCTCACCTGCGACACCAACTGCGGGCACCTACTGGACGCCAGTCTTCCCCAGGCGGGGCGTCACTTCCTGCTGCCTCCCAGCGCCGGTCCATCCTTCCTCCAGTGCTGTTCCCCCGGAGGGGCCCTTAATGCTGGTCCTGAGCCCTCAAACCCCAAAGGGGGTGATGCAAGGTGAGGACACACCTGTCCAGCTCCACATGGGGTGGTGGCTACCTGTCCTGTCTGTCGGGGGTGGGCAGAAATGCAGGGTGTGGGTAGTCGGGGGTGGGGGATATGTGTGTAGAACGTCCTGATAGCTGGAGGCACTGGCCTTTGGATGCCAGAGGGACACCTCTTAGTCTGGAATGACAGGTACCTACCTGGATGCCAGGCCCAGGGTGATAGAAGGTTGAGCCATGAGATGGGTGTTCAGATGAACCTGTCTGTCTCCCGGGAAGGCTGCCCCAGAAAGTGAGTTCAGGTGGCAGCCCCAGGGACTTTCAACTTTGGCTGCTGAGTCACATGCCTCGGGAAGCCTGGGGATCAAGAAGAGGAGGGGAAAGGTCTGGGGGTGCAGAAGGAGGCCCTCAGTCAGAGCAGAAGGAAGAAAAGTGTTGACAACTGCCTGGGGTCTTGGGGTTCAGGCTAGCGCAGGGCCTGGGGAGAGGCTGTGGCACCGGGGCCCGGGCCCCAGGTACCCTGCCGCCCAGCCCACTCCTGGCATCCCAGAGCCCCTGCCTGGGTGCAGATTCTCCAGTCGGAGTCTGCTGGTTTTGTTTTGTTTTGTTTTTTAATTATTTGCAGTTGCACAAAAAATGCAAGTGGCTAGCGCACGCTCAGTCCCCTTCACCATTCCCCCGTTTTCCTCCTGCTCTGTGTCCTAGTCCCTGGGATTCCTAGAAACACCCTGAGATTCGCACTTGAGATGCAGAGTCTGCTCTCACTCCCTGGGGCACCCCTCTGGGCCTGGCAGGGTCCGCGCTAGGAGCTGCACGGAAAATCTTAGTCTGGCAGACCCTGGCTTGGAAACACCTCAATCCAGACTGTCCCAGCGAAAAGCAAGCTCCTCTTTTCTTTAAAAACTCTAAAGACAAAGGTCTGTTTTCTTCCTTAATACCCTCCCCTGAGGGTATTAAGGGGACTCTGACAGGCAGTTCTCCACCTTCCTTTCAACTTTTTCTGCAGGACAAGTTGCAGAGTGTTGGTGGATAGCGTGAGCTCTGGGTCCAAGGTAGTAAGCAGAGAGAGGTTCGGAGGTTTTCTGGAAAATGCAGGAACCTGCTGGGAGACGCTTGTGAATGGCCGTGAGATGTATGTGATGTTTGCTCACTTCTCTAATGACTCTGGAGATGTTCCGTGATTCAGCCACCCGGCTTTGAAGTCGGTCGTTTGCACACAGATAATATTTCTCCTGCCTGTGATGGAATAGCAAATGCATAGCATTTCATCAAAACACAAAAGTCCTGCCTTGGCTGGTGTGGCTCATTGGATTGAATGCCGGCCTGGGAACCAAAACACAAAAGTCCTGTTTCTATAGCAGAATAAGCAGTCACCCCCTCTCTTCTCGCAGGGAGGAAGGCTTTTCCTAGATTTTGCCTTCCTTTGCCGACTGTGGCAGGAGAATCTTGCATGGTGCTGTTCTGATTCTATGGTGTCTTTAGCTTCAGGGTTCTACAACCAGGGTCCAGTAGGTGGGGTCCTTGGATTTACGTTCTAGAAGTTCTCTTCTAACTTCTAGAAGGCAGTTAGGGAAGGCAGATTCCGAATGTCTCACCCTTCCAAGCTCTGTATGAAAGCTGTGTTGTCCAACTGTTCTAAGGTTACTCCGTCCTCCTTGTCCACAGAGCTGGGGACATAACAGGTGACTGACTGCAGATCCTCAGGACTGAGACTGAGGCGTCCGGGACTGGGACTGAGCGGTCTCTTGAGGGTCTGTGTGCGGCTGTCTGGAGAGGGGGAGAGACCTGCTGGAGCTCGGTGTCCTCCCTGCTGGTTCCGCCTAGAAAAAGTGCCCCTGAGGACAGACGGACTGGATGGGTCCCACTCCGGAAGTGAAATCAGAGGGGCCTCAGAAAGTGGGGGTGAGAGGGGCCTCCAGCTTTGGGTGCTTCCGTGTATGAGGCCACCTCTCCCCTCCCCCCTTTCCATGGCTGATCTGTTTTTCTAGCTCCCATGGGCCTGGGGAGGCCTTTCCTCTGGCTAGTTGCAGGTATAAACGGGAAGAGACAGGCAGAGGGGAAAGGATCTTTCTGGCTCTCTGGCTGCCCCTCCGCCATCGCCTGGCCCTGATCCCCACATTCAGAGGGACCACAACGCCCTGACCGATCAGGCAGGAAGGTCCAGTCACCATCTGCCAAAATAGTAATACTAATAACTGCTAAGTGGATGCCAACGCTCTGCTAGCCGTGCCTGTCCACATTCACCGGCGAGCCATCTCTGCATCCCTTGATGAAGGTGGAAGCGGCACCTTGACATAAAGCTTGGTGCGGCCGTAATTAGCCCGGCATTGTCTCTCCCCATCACGGCTTTTTCAGGAGCATTAATTCCTTTTCTGTTTGGATTCTGCTAATTATCCCCATCGGTACTTTGGCCTGGATCTCTGAAAGAAGGAAAGACAGTGAAGTCTCTCTGCTCCCGCCTCCTGCTAACCCGGAATTTTAATTACACCAGGTTCTCCTAATAAATTTACAAGCCATAGCCAAGCTTGTTATTAATGGACCACATCTGTGAGCCTCTGAGCAGCAGAGCCCGTCTCCACCACACACGCGCACACACACATGCACACTCATCTCTCTCAGGTGCATCTCCACGGGAGACTTTCTAGGGGCTATCGGTTGTTTGCCTGGAGGCTGACGGGTAACTCAGTGTCTCCACTTTCCAGGGAAGAAGAAAGGGTGGGGACAAGAAAGCTGGCCATCATCCTAGTCTCCAGGGCGCTGCCCAGGTTTGCAGCAATCAGATCAAAGAGCAGAGGCTGCCCCCAACCTTTCCCTGATTTTAAGGAAGAAATGCCTCCTCGCTTACTCTGCCCAACCTTCAACTTGGTCGTCCTTCAGCTCAGCCTCCAGTCCCCTCAGAGGCCTGGCTCAAGAGCCTGGACTTTGACATCAGAAAGTCCCAGGTTCAAATCCCTTCCTTGTGAATGGCTACATCTCTTCCACTTCATGCGATGTTCTCTTGAACAAGTTTCTTAGTTGATGCCTCTAAAATTAGTTAATTTATCTTCAACACGTGAATAATAATTTCTTAGGGAGGCTTTAAAGATTAAACAAGATAATGTAAGGGGGTGCAATGCAGACCATGTAGAAGCAACAAATAATTTTACTAGTGTTCATATTGCAGTAATAATGCCTAGTCTT